GAACTTGTAAATTTTAAGAGGGCGAATCCATATTATCAGTAAAAAATATATGTAAAAAGTATAATAATTTAAAATTTTCGACACGAATGTGTTGATTTCTCGATCCGTCCTTGATATAAATATACAGTAATCCGATTCAAAATAATTGGGACATTTCAATTGCCTGGTGCCAAGGCGTATAATGTATTGAATACATGTGAAAACCACTTTTATGCTTTTCATCACATTAAACCTTCTTTTTCTATGGAGAAAAAAGAAAAGGAAATTTGAAGAGATTGGAGCAGAACTTTTTCGCAAAAGAATGTGTTTTTGTTGCTAGAAAAATGATCATAGTGATAAACCATGACACTAAAGCCTTATTAAAGAACCATGGATTCCAGAAAAGAAAAGAAAAACATAGAGAAAAGGTAGACGACGGTGTCTACGATTTAAAAAGGAAAAAAAATCTTATCTACACGGCATACATCACTTACTGATAAGTTTTATCAACTTATCATCATATATATATAAATCAACATTGTTAATTTTTAAAACAACCCATCTTGTTCATTTGATCCAAAGACCAGATTTTTGGATGCTTTGTTCTTACAAGACAGTTTTTCAGAAAGAGAAAATGAGGCACATTCGTCTTGGTTACATCAGACAACTTGCTTAAATTAGATTAGACATGCAACTTGGTGATTAAGTTCTAAATTGTTTGCTTAAGATAAAATTTTTATAAAAGAGTCACCTACACGAGAATCCGATTACAAAACTTTAATAAAAATTCGGATCTACAAGTTTCACTCCTTCAACATAGTCTAATCTGATCTGAGTTTAAGCAAGTCCCACCCAACTTGAAACTCCACCTGATTTTCAAGATGAAAGTATGTACCCAATCCAACACACCCAACAATTTATTATGTAAAATAATGATTTAATTGAAAACTTATAAATATAGGGATATTATAATAATTATATCTAAATATATAAATATTAATTATATTATTATTTTTAGATAATGTATTTTTTACTGTAAACTCGATCCCAATTCAATCCTGAATATTTAAAACAAAAAAAATTAACATTATAAAATCAATTTAAAACTCATTGGATTCAAATTAATTGTCCATCTTTGACCACATCACAAACTTTTCAAACCAAATCAAAACAAAGTTAAAATATCAAAAAGTCTTTTAATGTTTCTTACGTTGCCTAAAATTTGGGCATTAGTAGACATCATCTACTTTCTTAGTGGGAATGATTTTAGGAACAAGTTGGGATTTTAAAAGCTGTTATTGTAAGGCGAGGTTAGTAGTTTTGTCATGAATTGTGCATACACGGAAACTATTTGGCTCGCATATTCAGGAAAGTGACCCTTACCTAAAACAGTGACGTGTTGCTGGAGAAAGCAAATCCTCATCAAAAGTTGAACATTAAAAAAACGAAACCACCAACCAACTTGGGCGGTTGTTCCCGAACGAAATGCCAACCTTCATGTGCTTTCAATGCAGCGACCCTGCAATAAGCTATGGACACTTGTATGTCCGTATTGGCAATCCCAGATTTAGTCTATGTGGAATCGTTTTACGCTGACAGTGCAGGTTAATGACCACACTTTTCTCTTTTTCATCCCCCAATGTTTCACGCGGATTTGATTAAACTCATATCTTTTGGTCGAATATCTACCTTTCTAACATCCTTTTGATCGATATTTATTGAAATAGCATCATTTCAACTGAGGTGACATAAAGACGCATTCTGATGATGTTCTTTATTTGGGTTTATGCTGATTAAGATATCACGTATGTAAGACGGATCTCTGGGGATGCATTTTATATAGGTTCTACTGAGTCTGATGTCACACTGATATTTTTTTCATAATAAAGATTTTATTTTTATTATTATTATAAATTAATAATATATTATGTAAAGTATTTCAATTATAATTTAAGAATTATCGAATGTATTTTTTAAATGCGTGTTAAAGCTGAAGTGAATTTAGGTTTTAGTGTTATATGTTTCAGGGACTTTGGCATATAGTCATTTGTATGAAATTATCGGATGGAACAATAGATAAAAATCAGCTTTGATCTTATTGTAGTTATAGGAAAAATATATGAAATTATAATAGTACACGTATGGTTATATATATATATATATATATATATATATTATTTTTATTTGATTATCGATCTATTAATTTTATCACTTAATTATTTAAATGTTATCAATCTAGTCATCTGTTATCAATATTTAACGAAAATATTGATGCACAAGTTAATAAAATTAGTATAATTACAAATTTAATATTCAATACTTACATATTTTATCAATTTAGTCTTAATTTTAATTTAATTTAATAAATTTAATCCTCCAATCAGAACATGAAATGTGTCATCGTATACATAATTTTTTTATAACTTTTAATTTGTTTAATTTAATATTTTTCTCTACTTAGAAGTTGAAATTATTATAATATTTTAAAATTAATAATTATTTTTTTATAATAAATAACATTAATTATTATATTAAATAAATATCATAAAATAATTTTTAATTTTTTTTTTAAAAAAATAAAATTTATTTAGGTGTACATACATTGAGAAATTATAGAAAATGCAATTACATTTAAATATTAGAAACAAAAACATTCATTTAAATAGAATATTAATTACATAAGGGTTAACGGTTATATGATGTTACACATAGCTGGACATTTTTTTCTTCTATTGAGACGGTGGACGTCTCTCTCGACGCCTAAGAATGTTAACCCCTCGTGCTTCCGTCGAAAGTAGAAATGACTTTCTATTTTCATTAAACCAATCCATATAGTTATCTGTAACCATATGATCAGTTTCAGCGTAAAATTGTCGAGGGGCCAACTGTGCATATCGGTTCTCCTAAAACGCAATCTAATCTCTGTGTCTCACCACCCAGTTAACATCTTTCTTTCCTCGTCTATCTATGTTATGCATGTCGTCTAAATTCCTAGGTGCTCTAGGAATATATTGCGTACAACCAAACTGACGGAGCACTCGATCAACTGGATGCCACTCAATAATAGCATAACATATAAGAGGTACAATTGACATCCAAACCTCTAATGACCCACTCAGGTGGGGTGGGATGCAAGCCTTTACTTCATCGCTCGCATAAGGTATCCACTGAAACTGAAATATAAATATACAATTCAAATAAATATAATATTCTAATTATATCTAACATTTTAAATTAAAATATTCATATTTAAACAGATTTCAAAACATACCTCATACCAAGTTTTTGTATCAATAAGCAAACAGATTCCCTCTAGTCCAGTAGGTATATCTCTATGGTTCTTTCTTTTCATTGACTACCTATGAAATATAATATAAACTAAATATCACCCTATTTAACTAAAAATATTTAAAACAAAATTTAGTTCGAAAATTACCTCAATAATAAGGGAATATGTATGGTTCATTGACGATCGGGCATAAGAAAGACATGCAGAACCACGCCAATGATTGCAGAAGCAGGAGACATCCACCAATAGCAGTTTTCTTATAATTCGTCGCACGACGCATTTCTCTAAAGAGAAATGCCAAAACTGCAGTACACAAACTATATCTTCTAGCTTCATCAAAATCAATCAGATGCTGGAACTACATACAATGCACCTGGTTGCGAGATTTGTCGGGCATCAATATTCCTCCAATGATTCGTACAATATAAGCTCGAGCACATGCCTTTACTTCAGCATCTGAAGCATTTTCATTCAGAACTTCAAAATTAGCTTTCAACCATGATAAATCTATTCTACATCCATTAAACTCTAGCGGAGCAGCTCCAAGATACTCCAGGCACATTGACTGCCAATCACCATCCGTCATACCACATATAATATTACCATCGACAGGAAGCCCCAGATACATAGAGACGTCCTTCAATGTAATTGTGCTATCTCCACATGGAAGATGAAATGTGTGTGTCTCGGGCCTCCACCTCTCAATCAATGCAGAAATTAGGACATGTTCGAGTTTGCAACCGCCAATAATTGTTGCAATATACCCGAACCCGGCAGAAGACAAATATGGCAAAATACGTTGTGGTGTCAGTATACGTGGATTTTTAATAAATGTCTCTAAAATACGACCAGTTTCCTAAATAATATGCATTATAAAAATTTATAATTAATATAAATTCATGATAATTTTAAATTAAAAATAATAATAAATATTAACATTAATTATTAAAAAAATATTATCATATCACTAAAATGTCTGGAGATATGGTTTGCATCCAATCGCAGCAGCATTTCACTTTCCATTATAACTGTAGACAAAAAAAATATAATTAGCACAAAAAATAATTAATTAATAAATTTAAATAAATAATAATTGTATAAATATTATTTTAATAAAAAAATAATATTTATATAATTATATTACTGTAAAATATAAAAACTATTTAAAAAATACTAACTTAAAAATAAATTTCTTACCGCTAATAAAAAATTTAAAACTCAAATAGTTGGAGAATTTGAGTTATATAAGAGAGGAGAATATGATTTTGGTGTGAAGAATGAGGGGGGATTGATGTGGTTTATATAGGGGAGGAGGAGGGGTAGTTCAGGGGAAAAACGGATGTACATTTATGACATTTAATGAAAGGCGCGTTCCCGGGGATGCGTCTTATCTCGTGACATCTGACTTAGTAGAACCCCGTGAAAGTGCGTCCTCGAGGATGCGCCTTACACTCGTAGCATCCCAATCAGCATAAACCCAAGTAAAGCGCGTTCCTAGAGATGCACATTTGTGTCACCTCAATCGAAAGGGTGCTACTTCGGGAAATATCAGTCGAAGGGTATTAGAAAGTGATATATTCGACAAAAAGATGTAAGTTTAGTCAAATTGTCATGTTTCATTTCCATGCGTGACATCTGCGAGTCAAGTCCTCATCATAGACGTTTATAATATATAAACTTTATATTTATTGAGTATATAGGAGATGAAGAGCAGATAATTATTCTCCCCAGTACTACTACCACCATTCAATAGATAAGAGGAAACCAGTGGAGTTTTTGGTTTTATGCATGGTAGTCTTCTTCTCATCGTTACATTTTAGATAAGTAATTAAAATAATAACAGTGGCATAGGTTCGCCATGGCTCGGTTCTCCTTTTATCACCATTGTTTTATCACGTTCTTGAGCTTCATTCTCGTCGTGTTCGTTCAAGGTAATGGGAATATATGCTTTTCCAGAATCTGGGTTGTTTGCATTTCGTGAAGTTTTGATCTGTTTGAAAAGTAAACCAATCTATTTGTCTGTTTTCTTCTGATTTCTTGTTCAGGTGCTACGGCTGCAACTTTCACATTTATAAACCGATGCCATCACACAATATGGCCTGGAATTCTAGCTAATCCAGGAAGTCCAAAACTTGAAAGTACAGGCTTTGAACTCACGAAAGGAAGCTCTCGTTCCTTCCAAGCCCCTTCAGGCTGGTCCGGTCGCTTCTGGGGCAGAACAGGCTGCGATTTCGATGACTCTGGTCATAGATCATGCACAACAGGCGACTGCGGCTCTGGCCAAGTTGAATGCAATGGAGCAGGGGCCACCCCGCCAGCCACCTTGGCAGAGTTTACTCTCGGTTCAGGGGCGATGCAGGACTTCTACGACGTGAGCCTGGTCGATGGTTACAATTTGCCTTTGCTTGTGCAAGGAAGTGGAGGCTCAGGAGACTGTGCCACTACAGGCTGCGTGACGAATTTGAACAAAAAGTTCCCGTCAGAGTTGAGAATCAACGGCGGCGGCGCCTGTAGGAGAGCCTGCGAGGCATTTAGGAACCTCGAATACTGTTGTAAAGACGCCTACAACAGTCCAGCTGCTTGTAAACCATCCATGTATTCAGAAGTGTTCAAGGCGGCTTGCCCCAAATCCTATAGCTATGCTTTTGATGATGCCAGTGGCACTTTCACTTGCACCGGTGCCGATTATACCATCACTTTCTGTCCTAGTGGTCCGAGGTAAATTTCTAAAACAAAAAACATGGCTTGTTTGTAAATTTGATATGTATTTATGTGGCATTAACTCTGATGCAGTTAGAAAACAACAGGAACCACGGTTGAATCGGAGTTGGATCATGATCCGGTCAAGGCAGCTGACGAGGTCAGCAATTGGCTGGCAAATTTTGCCACCGGAGACTCGCCCACAATCCGACCATCTTCCCCAATCCAAATTGGTTTTTCTGTAATCATTTTTCTTTTCCGTTCTTTCTTCTTTTAGTCTTTCAGTGGGAAAGAATCCAGATTGTAAAGTTTAGAGATGTTTACATGTATTTCATTTTGTTTCTGAAATAGAACCCATTCCTTTTCTAGCGGTTTTGGATCGAATATCTATGGTTCACAGCTACTGAAGTGAAGTGAAAGATTCAAGAAAGTGAAAGATAACTTTTCTGTGCCTTTAAGGGTGCATGATTGCCTTTCCTTTGAACGATATTAACTTAAAAGGGTAAAGAACATATGAATATTCTCTTACTATTAAAATTTATAGAATGATTATTCAACTATAAAAAAATATTTTATTGAGTCTCCCAATTATTTAGAGTTATAGAATAATTATTCGACTATTAATATGTTCTAAACTCATCATTTTTTTGTTAAAAAAATTGGCAACTGTTTGAGTTGGATACTAAAATACTCACTAGAATATGATAAAATTTGATCTCAAAATTATTTGAGTTGTATTTTGTAGATCGAGTCTATTTTGACATTATGCCATCGAGTCAATGCTTGAAGCATTATGATGTTGAGCCAGTGCTTAAAAGCAACAATAGTGTCGATAAACATCATTAAAATATGATTTATCATATCCTTATCAGCATGTTAACGTCTAGTTCAAGCGATCGTCAATTTTTTTAACAATGATGAATTTGGAACATATAAATAGTAGAGTGACCATTTTATAATTTTTAATAATTGAGAGACTAAAAAAATAATATTTCACAATCATAAAACTATTTTATAACTTTTAATAATAAAAAGAGTCTACAAAATAACACCCTATAATAAGATTTTTTTTTACTTTATCCTAGTGTAAAATGGAAGGAGTGATTTGCTTAAAACAAATCATATAAGAATTAATTTATTTAATTTAATAGAGAATTAAGATGTAATTCGTCGCCTAATACATTGGCTTATGTGATACTTTTACCGTTTAGTATTAGTCCATACAACTCGTAATTCTGGCCCATCATTCCATTTCCCATAGATATGGACGAAAGGCCCGCACGGCAACAAATCAGCGGCAGCCGCAATGGTTGACGAGTATAGCAACCACTAACCATAGTATATAGTCTAATTAAAATAATTAAAACCGGTATTTAAATTTTGTTTTAAAATTAATATAGTTGAGAACCAAGTAAAACAGCCACCGGATCTGAGAAACAACGGCAGAAAGCTGGCAAAACTAAACATATTAAAGGTGAACTTCTTCTTCTTCTTCCTTTTCGTGTTCACCGAGTGTAGTCGGCTGTCGGAAGCGGTGCAAAATTTCGATATGGGTGTTTCTTTGATAGTCTTCTTTCTCCTTCTTTTCATATATTTCAGCACAGGATCACAAGTTGTTACCGTCGATGTTACTCAAGCAAAACACTTGCTTCAGTCCGGCCATGTTTACTTTGATGTCAGGTAAACATAACCGGATTCAGTTCAGTTCTTTGTTCTCAAACTTGTCGGCTTCTCCGCTTCAAAGTTTATGTTTCTGAGATTCATTTCCAATATTAACAGGACAGTGGAAGAGTTCCAGAAGGGACACGTGGAAGCAGAGAAGATCATTAATATCCCGTACATGTTCAACACACCAGAAGGTATGGTGAAGAATCCTGAATTCTTGAAGGAGGTTTCAGCTACTTTCAAGGAGGAAGATCGTCTTGTATTGGTAATTTCGATTTCATTATTTTCTTTTTCTTTTTCTCTATGTAAACGATGTGGGAAATGTAGTCGGCTAAGTACTTTGTTTTTGCTTATAGGGCTGCAAAAGTGGGGTGAGATCCCTTTCTGCAACGGCTGAGCTTCTTAAAATTGTGAGTTTTATTCGATTCCAACTCCGAGTCTGAGACACGACCTTCAGATTCAAAGTCTTTGGACCGGTTGTAATTGACTGTACTCATGGGTGTTGCAGGGTTTTAAGGATGTAAGAAACTTGGGAGGAGGTTATCTTGCTTGGGTGGACAATGGGTTTGGTACAAAAATGGAGGAGCCTGCAATGGTAGAAGAACAGAAACCAAAAGAAGAGCTGTGAGTGGCGTTGTCATCTTGTTCAGGTGGCTGTAATTCTAGTAATCAATAATCCAGCAAGTATTTTCCAACAGGGGAACTGGAAATTTATTATTTTTATCCTTTTTCTCATGGATTTATAAACAGTTAATTGTATCCTTAAACTGACACTCATATTGGCGATATATTTTCCATTGTCGTCTTTATAAAGCTAGCATTTTATGCAATATCATCCGGTAATGTATGTTATCCATTGACAGTGTATCAAATAATAATCATATAGATACTTTCTGCTGCTCAGAACGAGCATGCCGACATGTTACAGTTAACATACAGGCTTATTTACAAACGTGGAATGGACAAAGAATCATTCAAATGATACAATTCAAGTGACTCAGAAAACAGGGTAGCCTTTAACTATGATCTCTTCGGCAAGAAGCCAAATGACAATGATCCGACAAACTAAGGCTAGCATGCTCCATCCCTAAGCATAAGTATAGCAATAACCCCCATGAAGGCCAATCCAGCGTCAAGTGGCCCAGAGAGTATGTAGTTATGGCGACTCCACCAGTCATGATAATATCTACAAATGCTGTAGTTGACAGCAGTTGCTGGTGGCATGTTGACTGATGCACCAAAGAGAACAGGAAAAGTAATAAGTTTAAGGGTAAACTACCTATATTATCATCTAACTATTACTTAATTTTAGTTTTAATCATCTAACTATTATTATTTTTAAAATCATATCTAATGATTTTATTTTGGTCATATTTGGTCTGTCTGACGCCAGGCAGAATAATGACTATCCTGCAAGCGTTTCAACAGATGATTCACAAGAGAAAATTCACCCAAAAAAATCCAGAGAAAAAGTCTCTAGGGTTTAATAAAATATTATCAAATCAAAACAATGCCAAAATCAGTCCACAAGTCGGACTGTTATAGCCAAAAATCGTCTTTATTCGAATTTTGCCAAAATAGCAAAATCCCGAAAATCACTCTAAATTGAAATTCGAAATAAAATAAGCAATATCCAAAAAAATCCGGCCTAAATCGGATTTAAATTGACTTCCTAATTGACAATCGAAATATTACCATAAATAGTAAAAAATATCTAATTCTAGTGATTCGGAGGGGAAAACGACATAATTTGAGGTTGAAAAAAAGGCCACATGCTCCATGTGGAGAGCGTGCGCGTCGAAAGGAGCTTTCCGAATTGGAGTCTTATGCGCGATTCTGATACCTGTAGCCAAAGTTATGACCAAAAGACTGAAACATACTCAAAACGACCCCAATGAGGAACATGTCACAATCAATTCCCGTCTTTACGCTGATCTGCCAATTCATGGTATCTCAACGCCATCAAGGTGCAATCTGACAATTCAGCATCATCTGTCTCGGATCCCCTGCATCACTGTCGGAGGCGTCTCCTCTCAGCTATGGAGTCTGAAAGGCAGCCACGCGCACATCACGTTCCGCCATTTGGGGTACACGTACATTCAGGTTTTATATAAGAGAAAATCGCCTCAGTGACCAAAAAAAAGTTATAATATACGATTTTAACCAACTTTTTTTGGATTTGCCAAAATGACCAACAAAATCGCAACGCGAAATAAAAATCGCAATGCGATCCCCAAAATCGCAAATCAGTTTCCAAAATCGCAACGCGATTCTTGAAAATCGCAATGCGATAGTACAAATTCGCATTGCGATTTTCCAAAATCGCAACGCGAATATGAAAATCGCAACGCGAACACATAAATCGCAACGCGTATCCGTAAATCGCAACGTGTATCCGTAAATCGCAACGCGTATGGGTAAATCGCAATGCGTATCCGTATATCGCAACGCGTATCCGTAAATCGCAACGATAATACATAAAATCGCAACGCGTATCCGTAAATCGCAACGCGATATTTAAAGCGCCATTATAATCGCTACGCGTATTTTATTTTCAAATTACAAAAAGAATATTAAGACAAAATCCCGTAATCGCAACTCATAACCTAAAACCTAAAATCACAACTCAGTCCCATCTCCATCTCTCACTCTCTACGGCGAAGAAATCCGTCCCCATCTCCGAAGATTTCCGTCCCCATCTCCGGCGAAATCCCTCACAACCATTCACGGTCAGAAATCCCTCACAATATTCAGAAATGGAAAATCAACCTCCGAGGGTTAGTTTTTTTAATTATTTTTATTTTGAAATGTTTGCATTATTGTAGGTTTTTCATATTGAAACTGATGATAAGTTTACTGGTCATTTCAATAATAGATTAACCATTTCACTTAGATTTCATTTCGCGTTACGATTCTGTCGTTGCGATTTTCATTTCGCGTTGCTATTCTCTCGTTCCGATTTTCAAGTTAGTATTTGTCTTTGTCTTTGTTCTGTCTTTTGGTTGAAGTAATGCAATCCATTCAAGTTTCAATTTGCAGAAGAGTCGCAACGAGATAAATGAAAATCGCAACGAGAGAATGACTGTCGCAACGAGAGAAATGAAAAGCGCAACGAGAGAATCGCAACGCGAAATGAAAATCGCAACGAGAGAATCGCAACGCGAAACCAAAATCGCATTGCGATTTTCATTTCGCGTTGCGATTCTCTCGTTGCGATTTTCATTTCGCGTTGCGATTCTCTCGTTGCGATTGTCATCTCGCGTTGCGATTCTCTCGTTGCGATTTTCATTTCAACCAAAAGACAAAACAGTGTTGCAAATTTTAGTTTCAAGAATAAACTACTACTTTTTATGTTTATTGTTTTTGGTATATCTTCACAGTGTAGTTTTTGGTATATCTAACTTGGTATGTTTATTGTTTTTATAGAAATTTTTTTCGGCTCAATTGACCTTGAGAAATAAAGTCAGCCTGGCCACTACAATTGCAAAGAAGCTTTCACCTGCTCAAAGACAATTGTTTGAGGAAACCTGCTTCGGGCCATGGCTGAGAGTACAGCATCCGGGTGGAGATGCTAATTTGACCCATTTGTGGCTTCAGACCATGACATCAAATCTACCCGACAGTATACAACGTGGTGAGGAAGAGATATGGTTTCATTTTCCGCCAGCGTATACTTGTTTTGGGCGGAAGGAGTTCTGCTTAATCACTGGTCTACGATTCGGACACGATGATGTAGGCCGGTACACTCGTCATATCGCCCGCCCATCATGGTTATCCCGGGTTTTTCCGGATGAGTCAATGGAGAAGCCGAACCTACATGTCGACGACCTGAAGAAATTGTTTAATAAGAAAGCTGGTTTCACTCGGATGGATGACGTCGATGTTGTCCGAGTATGCCTTCTACTACTTGTGTATGCCGGCTTTTTAGGCAGAGAGGCCAGACAACCTATTCATCGGGAGCTAATAATATTGGTAGAGGACCTGAATGCATGGAATCTGTTTCCGTGGGGTTCGTATATGGAAAGCTACCTGGACTAAGTTGTCGTCTGCCTTTGATGACCGCAAAAGTTTGCGGGGCGATGGGTCCAAATACACTTTGTCAGGCTTTGTTTGGGCCTTTAAGGTAAGAATTTCTATATAATGTTTCTAAAATTATAATTAATTATTTAACAATTACTAATTTTGTTATTATATTGTTTGTAGATTTGGATATTCGAGGCTTTCCCCAGCATGCGTACATATGCAATAAAAACGTCAAATGATATTCCCAGGGCTATTTCCTGGAAGAGGAAAACTCTGTTGGATTGGGAAGACTTAATACCATATGCCACAATAAATAATGTAAGTTAACACAAATACTTTCATATAATATATAAACAAGTTATTAATAGTAGACGTTTAACTTTGTTTGAGTTTTTATATTTTAGGAGGCTAACATTCCATTACAAAGACTGACACCCACGGAGGAAGAGCTTGCCACTGATTGGTGGCAAGCTAGTCAGAATTTTTTTGATGGCACGGATGATGAGCAGCATCCACTTCCTCCAATTCGAGAGCCATCACCTCACCTAGAGCCATCACCCGATCGACCCGACTATACACCTCTAGAACGAGAGCCATCACCTATCCCGTCACATCATCGAGCCTCTTCTCCACCATCACCTCATGATAGGCGACCGGCAAAGATGCCACGACTCCTATCTCCCTGTTCTCCACCTCCACCTCAACGGGATGAGTCAAGGGAGTTACGTGATGAGGTCAATGCCTTGCGTGAGGAGATCGGTACTCTACGCGATAACGATGGTGCATGGCGTGTGGAGGTGTCAACTTTACGTGGTGAGGTTGCCGCTCTACGTGAGATGATAGTATCGTTGCAGAATGAGGTTCATACTCTACGCAACGAGGTAAGTTTAAGATTTTCCATATTTAACTTAATGATAAATTTACTCGTAATTTCACTTAGATTAGCCATTTCACTTAGATTGCTTAGTAAATTTATTCGGTTGCTGCCAATTCTGCTAAACTGTGTATTCTTTAACACTGTGAAATAGTATTTGTCTTTGTTTTGTCTTTTGGTTGAAAGTAAATTTGTTCGGTTGCTGCCAATTCTGCTAAACTGTGTATTCTTTAACACTGTGAAATAGTATTTGTCTTTGTTTTGTCTTTTGGTTGAAAGTAAATTTGTTCGGTTGCTGCCAATTCTGCTAAACTGTGTATTCTATAACACTGTGAAATAGTATTTGTCTTTGTTTTGTCTTTTGGTTGAAAGTAAATTTGTTCGGTTGCTGCCAATTCTGCTAAACTGTGTATTCTTTAACACTGTGAAATAGTATTTGTCTTTGTTTTGTCTTTTGGTTGAAAGTAAATTTATCCATTCAAGTTTCAATTTGCAGAAGAAGAAATAGTTTACTTTCGCAACACGAAACTTAAAATCGCAACGCGAAACCAAAATCGCAACGCGAAATGAAAATCGCAACGACAGAATCGCAATGCGAAATGAAAATCGCAACGAAAGAATCGCAACGCGAAATGAAAATCGCAATAGATTTTAAGTTTCGTGTTGCGAAAGTAAACTATTTCTTCTTCTGCAAATTGAAACTTGAATGGATAAATTTACTTTCAACCAAAAGACAAAACAAAGACAAATACTAACTTCAGGGTATTAGTTTGAAACATATTTTTCTTTGTTATCTGATGCATTTTGTGAACTATGATAGAATAATGACTTG